CCTCTCTCTTGCTCATTTCCGACCTTCTTATCTAAGAGATGGTTGACCATTTGCCAGTCCTGGCGCTTGCAGGCCACCGCGAGAGGTGTGACTCTCCTGTAGTTGGGTGAGTTGATGTCCGCCTGGTAGTCTACTAGGAGATCCACAATTTCGTGATCACCGTTCTGAACAGCTAAGTGGATGGCTCGATCCCCGTCCTGAGGTGATTTCCTCCAGCAAACAGGGGGACGCGCGGGAGGGCGGGGTTGGAGTCTTAATACTAACGCCCGTCGATCTCATGTCGACGCGATTTTGTTCTTCGCTGTCGCACCATCATTGAAGAAACATACAAATCTCTCGAGGGAGGTTGACAAGGTTTGATTTGTCGGCGGCAAGAACAATTGGTTTTACATGCATTCTTGCGCAATGAATCTATCTTTGTAATCGATACTGATGTGCGCGACTTGGTCTTTCTTCAACCGGTGCTTACCTTGTCAGCTTCGTTGACAAGGTCTTGGGAGCGTTTCAAGAGTATTTCCGCAGCTTCGCCATGCCTGAGCGACACGGCAAAGTGCAACGCCGTCTCTCCCGTCATGCACGTCTGCCGTGGGTCTATGCCGTGTTCCAATAGCAGGTCGATTGTTCCCTCCCACCCACTGATAGAGGCGTAGTGCAGCAAACTGACAGGACAGGTTACAGGGCGTGAAGCGTAGAAGCTTGTACCGCATGCGCGACAGAGATAGATGTGTTTGATCATTCATTCGACGGCGTCGTTCAGTTCGATACTTTTTTTATTGATTTGATGTGTGGGTCCATTTCATTTACCACATTCGCTCGCGTTTCTAGAATACCCTACGGTCTCGCCTCTTCAACTGAAGAGCTTGGATGCGGGGTTACTCAGACGAATTTCTTGCGGTTCATGTCTTTCATTTATGTTGGGAAGGGTTCACCACCTGCGTCCGTTATTAAGTGCATATTGACGAGTAAAGCACCGCGCCACAAGACGTGGGGACAAAAATATTGTCTCTCACGCTAAGCGGAGACTCTCGGACTCACGACCTACTATGTGTCAGAACGTTGAGACGGCGTTGCAACAATAACAGTCACCGAGGCAATCGGCCTGCGCTATGAGAAACTATTTGTTCGTTGAATCAACGGAACAATTTTGCGTGACTTTGATCGATCTTTACTTGTGTTTGTTACGCAGTAAGCGTTTGTGCTCGTGATATCGCGTGGGTTCTCGCGGTGGTGGGCTGTCGGGAACTGTTGTACCTGTAGTCGTGCATATCCAGTACATTCACATCGGCTTTCAAATCTTCCACCAGAATGCGCACCATCTCTTCACGATCGGCTCGGGTCCCTGGCTTCATCCAGTCCTGATTTGTCTGGTGGATGATCGACGGAGCAATGAGTGGTGAGAGGAAGGAGGGGTAACAATATATACTTGAGTTACGACGAAACACGACATGTATTTATGTATGTGTCCGAGCGCTGCTTCTCATACCGTCGCAAACACTAGAGAACTTTCCACATAGGAGGATCTTGCGACTCTTATACGTGAGTTGGACTTTCCCAGTTTTTATACAAGAAAACGAATACAGCGAAGATAGTCCGTAAACCTCCTCTTTGACGAAGCTCCGACAACGTGGACCGTTCCAAGACACGCCGACATACGAAGTGTGATCAGTAATTGCGACACCGCTTCTAAGCGCTCACAAGCTCGCCCTAGAGGGCCAAGACCAGATGGATTCTTGAAATCGGCCGCCGACCTGCCTACCGTCTGTGGTCTTGCCTGAGTTTCTTCGCGATGATGCTTACCTGGGCCGTGTCCGGCCGCCTTGGGCGAGGTACCCCAAGCCCTGTCTCCGCGTCCTGCTCGAGACCGAAATGCTTCGCAATTTCCGTGAAGTGTGGGCTCGTAAAGCAAAGCATCAACGCCGTCCTCTTCCGCTTGTTCGGGATGTTAGGATCGACCGTTTCCGTCTCGAAAATTGACTTGCTGTTAGGATCCAGCATGAATTTCAGAGCTCCCAGGTACCTGCGAAGAAGGCGTTAGTTTGCCAATGCTCAACTCTCAACAAAAATCGTTTGACAGGCAACACACACGCACACACACGGGTAATCTGATTTACGCTGCCTTGTATTTGGTGCTGAACAACATCGTACACTTTCACCGCCAACATGAGTCACTAGGTATCTTGCTTTCATCTCACCCTTCACGACACACACGATGAAGCACTGTCTCGCCTAGTAGGGGGCCTTGGTAGCTGCGGTTAATATCCTTCCACTTCATGATGACGGTCTCCCTCAGTAGTCGCATGTCTCCGAGGGAGATCTGCAGAGGGATCTTGTTCATCTTCGCCAACATCGGATCGTCTTGGCTAACTTTGGCTTCCATTTGATGGTACTTTTTGATCTGCATACATACATTGGACGTGTCAAACCGAGCAAACTTCTTCAGTACGTCACTGCCAGCGCTTTCCCGCGCAGCGTGTGGTCGCACAATCTCATCGCAGGTCCTGCTTCGATCATCAGACTCTACAAGTAGTTGACCAACAGTAAACCAAGTTAGTATCTTCCTCCGACGATGATTTTCCATTGCCACACGCGAGCCCAAACTCTCGAGCCAGAGGAAGAATGGTTTATGAACATAATCAAGCATCTCGTGCCCCTCATTGCTGGACCGTTAGACTTTATTGATAACACCGCAGAGATAACCTCTTGCATGCTGTGCTACTCTGTGTTATCAATGTTCCATAGACTACTACAGTTAGTTAGCGCCCGCGTTTAAGAAACAAACAAACGTCAATTAGGGCTCGAGGCTCAATTTCTTGTTTCGTCACCACCGTCGAGCATCCATGTAGGTCATGATATATATTTAATTGCAGGATCCACGGCTGAGGTGTGTTTCTTCGTCGATTGTTCTTACAAAATATGAGCCTGCCTTGCGCTAACTGCTGTACATAACAGCAGTATGTGCTATCGGATTCGATTTCGACAAGCCAGCGAAGTATGTGTGTGTCGAAAGCAAGAACATCCGGACTATTCAATTGACCCTGCAGTTCAACCTGGTACGAAACCGCGCTGTAGGGCCTCAACAGCTCACTTCTTGCAGCCAATACCACCTGTCTAGACTATGCCCAACTGGCTGCGTCAGCTACGTTCCACGTTTTTTTGTGTCTAGTACTGCTGTTGGAGTCGGATGAGCCCCGCGATGGGACAGCCAAAGCTGCCGCGTTCCTCGTTCGTGCAACGAGCAATGGAGACGCGACATATCATGGCTTCGTACCTGTAGCATGGAAGCCTCCTGCTCCTCAAACGTTGATGACTCCTGCCAATCCTTCATGAAGAACATGAGAGAGTTGCGGCGCCTCATATCCATATCTTTGGCGGTGGGCATCTTCGTGCTCTCCATAAATTCGATCTTGGTGTCACCCCCCCGGAAAAGCTTGCCCGCCGCGGAACCCATCCTCCTCTAGGAGATCCAGCCTTAGGTTGGCGGTTTTAGAGGACAGCAGTTGTATGGCGTGCACGTCGCGTGGCCTATTTGAGGCAGCGTCTGGCAAACTCCTACTCTGTTGTTTTCGGTGGCGTGGCCTGATACATGTCAAGGGGTGGTCGGTTTACAATTTTCAGGGCTTGTTTCATGGTCCCACACTTAGAGGCCGCGCCCTTGCACTACACCAGAACGCCTTGTCTCTTGTCGCTAATAGACTCTCGCGTCCCAAGTCCCAAGTCCCAAAGGGCTGTGCGGCCCAACTTGTGCCGTTTTGGCCCCTTTCTTCCTCTCCTCTGCCTTGGTCTTGGGGATCGGGGATGGATCGATGGATCGATAGATCCCGCGGGTCTTTTCTTTTTTTTATTTTCTTAACATGACACATCATGTCTAAGCAAAGAGTCCAAGACAGATCAGCAATGAATCCATAGCGTCAGTGAAGGCTACCTGTGTTTCCATGATTTCCCGAGCAGCATACAGCGACATCTCCCCCGTGGGTAACTTTTTTCCACCTTTCAACGATCGAACACCACCCATTTCATGCGCCCCTTCCCCCCCCCCTCGGCGGTGGACCCGCGTCGTGGACCCTCCAAAAATTCAAACGCATCCCGATACTAGGTTGACCCGTTGTCCAGCGAGTCTGTTCTTTTTGTTTGGGGGAACCTGCTGTGTTCCTCGTCGCGTCTATAATAATATGGAGAGAGAAACCAGAGACTCTAAAAATGCGTCAAGAGGATGCTGGTGTGGGGAGAAGCAAGACACAATGCTGCTTGTGGTTGGCGCCGGTGATCGCTTCGATTTAAATTCCTTGGACGGCCCTGGAGGCATAGGTCGCGCGCAGGCACCGCCGCGATATCGTGCTCGTAGCTAGGGTTGTCACCCGGCTGGAGAAAGTAGAACCGGGTTCCTGGTAAGGTCTTCGGGGGTGTACCCGGCGGGTACCCGGTTGACCCGGTTTGTCTGGTACCCGGGTACTCGGGTCACCCGAGTATTGGAGGCATATTTGGCCTTGGGGACGTGACAAGGGTTTGAGGATACTTTCGCTGGTTGACAAGGGCACGTTGGCCTCGGAGGCGCGGCAGGGATGACCTCTGTCATAACTTATTCCAGGACCATGCCGTACAAAGTCCCCGCACCTCCCTCTGTCTCATTTGAACAACATTGATTGATCACTTGCTTATCTTCTCTGCTGCAAGCTGCAAGACGGGGTAAAATAACATTACAGCATGTATGTTGTGGGAAAATATGACCTGGCATTTATTTTCAACACACGGGCGTCAACGCACGCAACACTTGCTTCATGATCTATCATTTTTAGCGTTCAGTGTCCTAACGAGGAAACGTTGCGCTCTTGTACGGCAGTTTGGGCCCGCAGCCACCGACGCACGTTGTTGGTGCTGTGTTCACATTTATTTATCGTTCCTGCCTCCGCTCAGTATGTTTTAATATCCGTACCGATCCAACTGACGATGTGGACGCCTTCCGTGGTCACAGATAGATCACCTACTACAAAAGTAGTAGTTCCTGACAGAAAACCTTTCGGGAAATTGAACAAACCGAACTAAAATACAAATCGACCCAGAAAAAAAACGACACCAAGTACCGGCAAAGAAGTTTGAAAGATAGGACCGAACCCGGCGGGAAAAAAGAAAAGCAAGACACAGAAGGAAAAACAGGAAAGTAGGACACAAAAGGAACAACAAACAGGATAAGGAAAAACAGAAAATATAGATAAGCAGGACACGGAAGGAAAAAAAACAGAGAAGCAGGACACGGAAGGGTATGCTGTGGGGGGGTATTTGCAACTGGGTACCTGTGAGCTGTGTGGGTGTGTGGGCAGTGGGCAGCCTGTTCGTGACATTTGGGGGCGCTGTGTATCGAAAAGGCCAGATACCCGGGTGACCCGGGTACCCGGGTATAATATTGCCGAAAATACCCGGGTATCAAAATTATGACCCGGAATCGGCCGGGTATTTTCAAAATCGGGTACCCGGTCCGGGTACCCCGTTATGACGCAGCCGGATGACAACCCTACTCGTAGCTTTCGCGACCTGAGATAAATCGACCGCGGTCATTGTTTTTTTTCCGCAGAAGAAATCAATCCTGTTCGGATTGGATGTACTAGTGTTCTAGGTTGTATCTGCGTTTGTGCCGTGTTCTACCTCACCGTCTACGGAACGCAATTCCAACCCGTGCATTCATTTACTGTAGAGAAATGGTTCACTTTGGCAAGTCAAAAAGAAAGTAACGCTCTCTCCTGTGATATCGGTATCACAGATCCAAGTCTGTTGGAAAGTGGCCTGCTTCAGAGACGCGCATTGGCAAACAAAAATCCTCTCCGAAGCCGTCACCTCAGTCGAAAAGCAGCGGCCATGGCGAAAAGTCCCCGTCTGCTAAAAATCCTGCGCAGAGAACAGCGCACCGTAAGCGAGATAGAGAGACAGAGAGAGAGAGAGACCGTACCACGCAACCGCATGCGTGTATAGCCTACCCAGCGTTCGTCGACACAAACCACCCGGAAACGCTACAGCTGTCGACTGTTCAAGTTCAACCGGCGAACATGAGTACTGTAAAATGAATATCTCCACGGGCACTACCTCGACCTGTGGTTGAACAAGGGAGTGAGTCCCTACGGGTGCTTGCAGCCACCCAGTGAAGAACGAACACGCACCCTCCTACCGCCTTCATCGGTTTCAGTGTGGATCTTATGCTCTTGGACTTGTGAGCGGGAGGTTACCCGTGCTCACGGAATGACTGCATTACCTCGACCGTGCGCGAGAGACGCCCTACAACATTGTTCAAATGTCCTTCACTCCACCGACATCGATGACACGAGGAAATTCGTCTGCACACGGTAGCACAATTTTATGGCCTTTCTCTTTCTCGACAGACTCGAGATCGAGCTGTCAGACCACTTCTGCGACTCTACGAGTACACGCCATAAAAGTGCAGTCTGGGTCTCTAACGTTAACCGAACAGGTTGTCGATCTCCGGTCACTGAACATGTCAGCCAACACCGGACCAAGCTCCCAGCGCGCGAGCGACTGCTGCGCACAACCCGTCAATCCTCGTCGAACAACAACGAAACCAACACAATGAATGAACATATCAAACCGATCACAGCTCGTCATCGTCGCTAAGCTCCCCCGCGCCCCCTCCAGCAGCCTGCTCACCGCCGGCATAAAAATCCCTCGAAAAGTCGTACGCACCCCCAACGGCCTCCCCACCCTTCCCCGGCGACAGCGACGCCCGCTTCATCTCTCTCCTCGCTTTCTTCTTGTCGGCCTTTCTCGTCTTCTTCAGCGAGCGGTTAACCTGGTGGCCGGGCGGGGGGGGG